CTTCCAGGTATAGCAGTTGTAGGTCATGTGACCGGGACCTCGGTAGAACACGTAGTTTTTTGTGTGATCTAACTTAAAGGTGTTTCATTTTGATTACTTCGGCAGCTTGAACCATGGTTCACTTTTAATGTCGCAGAAGATTTGGTGGATCGGGATCGAGAACTTAGGATAGTTCTTGGGAGTCAAGCCTTCTTTAGTCAAGGATCGATCCCTGCACTTGGCCTTTTACCTACTTTTATTGTTGTACTGCTTCATGTCCTCCTTCTTTTGAGCTACTACCAATTCTTTTTTAGGCTGCTCGGGTGCCTTGTCTGCTCGCCGAGCTTCGTCCCAAAGTGCATGCTTCTCTGCTAGAGCAAATGAGTCTGCCAAAGTTAAATCTTCTTTCATGATCAATTCTCCGAATAGTGGGTGGTCTGTTATGAATCTTTTTTGGAAGGCTACACTAGCTATCGAGTCGTTGCATCCGACTATCTTTGTCTTTTCTGCTTTGAACCTCTTCACATAGTCACAGAGCGACTTCTTTAGGTTCTTCTTGACATTGAACAAGTGATTGGACTTCTTCCTAATTAAGTGATATGATGAATACTCTTTAGTGAAAACCAAAGAAAGCTCATCAAAACTCTGGATGGATCGTGGCAGCAGGGTGTGAAAGTCAGTCACATTCCATCGTCATGGATTACCTGAGGTTACTTTTGTTGGCGAACGTAGTGGAGTGAGATATGGTGTTATTTCTGCTATGAGAGCAAAAAGGTTGTTAACGAAAGGTTGTCAGGGATGTTTGGCTCATGTGGTGTTAAATGATAATGTTCCTAGTAGTGTGAAGGATGTTCGAGTAGTTAAGCATTTTCCTGATGTATTCCGTGATGATTTACCTAGATTGTCACCAGACCGAGACGTGGAGTTCACTATTGATTGGCTTCCAGGTACAGATCCTATATCATTAACTCCTTATCAAATGGCTCCTGCTAAATTGAGTGAATTAAAAATCCAGTTACAAGAATTAGTTGATAAAGGTTTTATTCAACCTAGTACTTCACCCTAGGGAGCTCCAGTTTTATTTTTGCGAAAGAAAGATGGGACTTTGAGGCTATGTATTGATTATCGGCAATTAAATCAGGTAACAATTAAAAACCGTTATCCTTTGCTGCGTATAGATGATTTATTTGATCAACTTCGAGGCGCCTGTGTGTTTTCTAAGATTGATTTGAGGTCTGGTTATTATAAATTGAAGATTAAAAGTGAGGATGTTCCTAAGACGGCTTTTAGGACTCGATATGATCATTATGAGTTTCTTGTGATGCCATTCAGGTTGACTAATGCACCTGCAGCTTTTATGGATTTGATGAATCGAGTATTCCATCAATATCTAGACAGGTTTGTCATTGTTTTCATTGATGATATTCTGGTGTACTCTAAGTCTAAATCAGAGTATATTCGACATTTCACTTTGGTGTTGAAGAAATTGAGGGAACACCAGTTGTATGCTAAGTTTAGAAAATACCAATTTTGGCTAGATCAAGTGGCATTTTTGGGACATGTTATATCAGCTCAAGGTATTCTGGTGGATCCTCAAAAGGTAGCAGCCCTTGAGAATTGGGAGCAACCACAAACCGTCACTGAGGTACGGAGTTTTCTTGGCCTAGCTAATTATTATAGACGGTTTGTTAAAGATTTTTCAGTTATTGCCGTACCACTAACGAGATTGACTAGAAAAGATGTTAAGTTTGAGTGGGATGATAATTGTGAGCAGAGTTTTCAGCAGTTGAAGTATTGTCTCACTCATGCACCTATTTTGGCACTTCCAGATAATAGTGGTAATTTTGAGATCTACAGTGATGCTTCCTTAAATGGCCTAAGTTGTGTGTTGATGTAGCATGGTAGGGTGATTGCTTATGCTTCGCGACAGTTGAAGCCTCATGAGATGAATTATCCTACTCATGATCTTAAATTAGCAGCTATTATATTTGCCTTGAAGATTTGGAAACATTATCTTTATGGTGAAAAATGTAAGATTTTTACGGATCATAAAAGTTGGAAATTCACCAACTCCGATCGATTATACAACTCAACCAACACTAGCAACCTAATATACCAAATTGAAGCTTAAAGGACGAGGAATCGACATATACATTGGGTTCCCTCAACCGTGGCCGGAGTTGGTTGGAAAAGAGCTGCCGGATTTCCGCCTGAATCTAGGGAAAAATATGTTCTTCTTTTTTCTGCTTCCCAAACTCACCAAAACGAGCACGCCGACTTAGAAATTGAACTGAATATCAAAAACGAAGAGAAATGAGGAACCTCAAAGCACCTAGGTCATGAAAGATAGAAACTTGCTAGGAAACATATTGAACAGTGCAACAACATTGTGCAGTGTACGACTTCATGCTTTGGTTTGATTTCTTGGTCTACGTTCCTAGGTTTTAGGAAGAGATAGAAGATCAAGGAACGGTGGTGGAGTTGAAACTCACCGGTTGGGTTGGTTGTTTGGTTCGCCGGAAAGATGGCGAGTGTGTTATGTGGTCCTCAAATAAATGAAGCAGAGAAAATGATCACAGAAGCTTGGGTGGTTTTTTCCTACTTCCGAGTTCGATAGTTCCTTACAGAGGTCTAGGTTGTGAAGCTCGCTGAAGTGGGAGTGTGAAGTTCTTGGCTTCTCTGTGGTTCCCAAAAAAAGAAAGTTTGAGATTGAGAGTTAAGAAAGAGAGTGTGTTTGAGATAAGAAGAAATAGTGAGGGAAAAGAGAGAGATAGAGAAGAGGACATGGGAGAGATGGAAGGAATGGGTCGTGGGCACCAACAAGAATAAATATTATCTCCCGTAAATACGAAATTACTAAAACGTCCTTCACGTTCGAAATTTCGTAAAATTGTTGTCGTAACACCAAATTCGATTCCGCTTACGCCCACACATTCGTAGCGATGAGCACTACGTAAATACGCTAAAAGAATGAGTCATATGTCTCTCTAAATAATAGTCAACAAAAGTCAAAATCCTTGCCTCTAGGGGCATTTTCATCAATTCACACTTTTAAAATTTATAAAATTGTAGAATTAGGGACAGGTTGTCACAAGAGCTACTTATATGAAGAGGGCACTAGTGTGTCATCAATTTTTATTAGGATGCCTCTTATATTAAAAAATATATATATATATATATGAGTTACTTTTTGGTTACCCGTGATTGAAAAAATACGTGTTTATTCACTTTTTATTTTGATGTCACAAGTAAAAAACAAATGAATGTACATTTAGTGTCTTAATTTTAATGCTTGATATCAAATTCAATGCTAAACAACCATGAATAATTAGTTATCAAGTGATTAAGAAAACGAGATTATCCTTAATTAATTATATGATATTGTTTTATATATGGTGGGATTTTAAGAACATGCATTTAATAGAGTCGGATTCTCTTTCATATTCTCCTTCCCTTCCTCTCTTTCTCTCAAACTTTACTTTTTGTTTGTATAAAAAAATTAACATAAAATGTTGACGTAGTTTAATCATAATCATTCAAATAAGAGGGGAGGAAAGGAAAGATAGATTAGGAGAGGTGAAAATCTTACTCCTTTTCTATTTCTCTGATTATTATGATCTCATTTTAGAGCAAGGCCAAAATGTAGATCTCATTTTACATGATAAATAAGAAAATCAAAATAAAACAATTCAAAATTTAATTAAGTTTTGAGTTGGTACAGATTTGAAGTTTAGGTCCTTTTCTTACTTCAATGATTTCTTTTTTGTTTTGTTCAATTACTTCAATCATCTCATGTTACTTGAATTGAAGCTCATGAAGAATCTTATTGGTATTGTTGGTTTTATTCTATCAACTAAATCACTTTTGAAGCTCATGACGCATCATTCTACTTTCGAGCCGAAGTGGAACCAAACTAGTTATATTATTTGATATCGTTCTTTTGGTTTAGGATGTAAATTAGGCTTAATCAAGACACGCACACCCCAATTCTTTCCGTTTATATTTTCATAGTAAAAAAACGATAACCTCGATGATACGATATAAGATTTATATTGATCAATCGACAAAACTAGAAGAAGATAATGCAGATGTGAGAATCAAATCTGAAATAAAGATGCATTGCAGCTCTTTCTGATTGCCAAGTCAAATGTGCACCATCTTTAAACCTCACAAAATACAAAATGGTTGAAACATTGTGAAAATGAAACCCTTATCATATCTCCCCAGATTTGTAGCATATTTAGAAACTTGAAAAAGAACCAAACACGTTGGGACGATACAGAGCTTTCAAAGTGTTACTTGGGAAAGAAAACTTTGGAAATTAATAGAATTGAATTGACTGAGAAAGACAATAATAGCCATCTTTACTAATGAACTTTATTCTGCTTTGGTGTTCCATGACCTTTAAAGTTCAATTTGCACCATGTGGTAGGATTATAGGAGCACTCATTATGTGGGTGGCTTGCCCACCCCCATTTTCCGTTCAGGCTTGCCCACCCCCATTTTCCGTTCATTCTTTGGGTTTATTAGATTTTCTTCTTGATGGTGTTGGCTTTGTGCGGGTGTTGTGGCAGGCTTAGAGGAGCGGCATTTTTCTTGTTTCAGGTCTAGAGCTTTTAGTTTAGAATTTGTTGTGGACTATCTCTTGATTGGCCATTTTCATTGTATTTTCTCTTTCAGTTGGGTTGTGCTTTTACTTATTCCTTTCTTTTTGGCTTTCCTTAAATTGTAATAGCCATCTTGATTAATGAATTTTATTATCTTTGACACAAAAAAATACAATAATAGAGATTATTTATTAATTAAAACTAACCCATAAAAACCCAAAACGCACTCTACTATATTTTGTCACCTTGTACACATCCAATTATTTAGAGCCTCTTCGGCCCGAAAATTGTTACTACTCGTGTATTACCACCAATTGTCTTTTTTAAGTGGAAAAAAAAAATAAAAAACCTGAAAAAATAAGCTGGCCCGCCATCCCAAGATTCCCAACTGTCCCCTTCATTGGCTTACCGATCAAGCCTTCAAGCTCCTCTCTCTCTCTTACTATTTCTCCTAAAATTCTTGCTGGAAGTTGGAACTCACTGTGTCAAAAACCAAAACCAAAACCCATATTTCCTTTTTTCCACTCTCTCTCTCTAGAAGTGTCTCTGCACTTTCTCTCTCTAAACAGACACACTCGCACTTCACTTGATGGGAACGAAAGCAAAGGCGCACCACCACCAGTACAATGCTAATGGTGCAGGTGGTGGTGGAGGCAACGGCAGTGAGAGCAGCAACAGCACCTCACCTAGCCCACCTCCGTCGCCTCGCCGTCACTTCACAGTCCCTCACTGCCGCCGGAAGCTCCGCACAAAAACCATCTCCGTCGTCTCTGGTTTTCTTCTCCTCCGCCGATTCCTCCGCTTACTGGTGGTGCTTCCCCTGCTCTACGTCTCCGGCCTGCTCATGTGCGTGGGCCCGTTCTCCGGTCTAGTGGGCCATACCCCTCTTCCCGGTTCCGTTTACCGCAGTCACGAGATGTTTCAGCTGCTCTGGCCTCACATTCTGGCCGATAATTCGACTCCAATTGAGGTTTGGATTCTTGGGTTTTTTCCTCATTTATCATTTTCTGTTTGGTTTCTGGGAAAATGCAGGAAAAGGGTTCTTCTCCTTCAGCTTTTCCAAGCAAGAAAAGCATGAAAAGAAAACGAAATACAATTTTTGGACTTGGGATTTTCGTTTTGGAGCTAAAAGACAGAAACTTTACTGAAATAAGACCGTTGCAGTGTAAACCTTCGATTTCAATTTTTTCCCATGTCCTTTCAGATCAAGTAAACGTAGGAATGTAGGACAGTTGCTTAATTTTGCCTTTTTTCTCTTTTCTTTCCCAGTTTTGCTTTTAAAAGCAAACGTTGTCCAGTAGCACATTAGAGTCTGAATTAAGTCAACTGTAAACTTGTTGGTTTCTGGATGTGGATGTTAAATTTCAGAGATCTTTGTCTTGAGAGTAAAAAGAGTTGATAGATTCCGAAATCGGGGTTCTGTGTAGGTCAGTAAGTTTACAAGGGATTGAATTGTAAGATCAAATTACTGTGGATCAAATTATACTCAAGTTTGTCAGTTATGCATAATTGTGTGGAATTCAAGTTATTAACGGAGACAATTTGTTGTTTGTTGATGTAGTTGTCCTCTGTATGGAGATACAGAAGAAAGCTGAAAGAGCAGAAGCCTTGCCCGTCATCAACTGCTGGACTACAATTAGGTATGACAAGGTAGCACAATTTTGTGTTAAGATGGCTGCCACATAATTCATTGGCAATTCAAGGTTTGGTAGTTTTGGAATCAAAGGATGTAAAGTTTTCTTCTCGTCACGTTATACTAATTTTCTCCGCTGAATTTCAGATTCCCCTGGCCCTAGTGGTTACTTGATTGTGGAGGTTAATGGTGGTCTTAACCAACAACGCTCTGCGGTATGTCAATACTTTATTATTTGTAGGCTGAATTTTTTACTAGTTGTCCTGTTAATCTTTTTCTACTTTTCAATTTTTTATTTCTTTGCTTTGAAAATTAGAGTAACAAGGCTATCAGATATCTTTAATGTGATTTTCAGCAACTTTACGAATCACCTATGTGCCGGCGTATGCATTTTGTTCGTGTGATTAGCATCTTGTGTTTTTTTTCTTCACAGATTTGCAATGCTGTGGCACTTGCTGGACTTTTAAATGCAGTTCTACTTATTCCTCGCTTTGAATTCCATAATGTTTGGAGGGATCCGAGGTAAAGTAATTATTGTTGAAGTCCTGACCCTTTAAAACTCAAATGATAAGTGTGTATAACAGTGTCTAACCAACTTCACCGTGTTCGGGACCAACGTTAGGTTGCCAGGTTCATGTAACGTCCTGATCTAAAATGATCAATAACGTGTATTGAAAAGCCTGCGAGAAATTTACTTTGAGAGGAAAACTCAGTCTATAGAAAGCATTATGAGAATGCCGTCTTTATTACCTTTCTTTAAATGATCTTATAAGATACTCTTATTGTGTTTTCAATTGAAATAAAAAAGCAGTATCTTTTGTTTGGCAGCACTTTTACTGATATATACGATGAAGATCATTTCATAGCCACCCTTGAAGGCCATGTTAAAGTGGTTAAAGAACTACCGGAGATGCTGATGGAGAAATATGATCACAACATCACTACCATACCAACCCTTCATGTCCAAGCTTGGGCTCCTGTCCGTTATTACACAGGAGAAGTTTATCCTGTCCTGCAAAAGAAGGGGTAGGTACTGAACTGTTTATTTTTTTTCTGTTCTATTTATATCAAACGGGCCATAACCCTTCAAGCCTGTAGGTTGTTTTTTTCTTCCTCATTTTGGTTTATGCAGGGTTATCCGCATAGCTCCATTTGCTAATAGACTAGCAATGAATGTCCCACCTCCTATTCAACATTTGAGATGCCTTGCTAATTATGAAGCATTGAAATTCTCTTCTCCCATATCAAATTTGGCAAATAAACTAGTTGAACGAATGACTGAGATGAGTTCAAGGACCAGTGGAAAGTATATTGCAGTCCACCTCCGCTTTGAGGAGGTAATACAGCTCGCCTTTCCATAAACTGTTTCGTCTCTTATGTTTAACGGTCTGGGAAAACTAATCATGTTATCAACTGTTTTTCTTCATCTTGCAGGACATGGTGGCATTCTCATGCTGTTTGTATGATGGAGGAGAGGCTGAAAATGTTGCAATGAATTCAATTAGACAAAAAGGATGGGGAGATAAGTTCAAAAGAAAAGGCCGCGTAACTCTACCTGGTCTCAATAGGATTGATGGAAAGTGCCCACTAACCCCCTTGGAGGTACTCTACTCCATTCCACGTGCATCTTCTACTTACTCATAGCTGCCTACCATGGAGAAATAATCCTTTTTGGTCTTGTCCGTGTAGGTTGGAATGATGCTACGGGGTATGGGGTTTGACAACAGTACTTTAATTTATTTAGCCTCAGGGAAAATCTACTGGGCAGAGAAACATTTAGCCCCTCTGCTAAAGATGTTTCCCTATCTGCATACGAAGAAGTCTCTTGCCACCCCAGATGAGCTTGCTCCTTTTGAGGTATCTTACGAGTTTTCATGCAATGTCTGCCCACAAAAGTATTTTGTGACTAGTGAAACGAATACTTTTAAATCAACCACCCTAAAATTTTATTTACTTTTGCTAGGGATATTCATCGAGATTGGCAGCTTTGGATTATACAGTATGCTTGTTTAGTGAGATATTTGTAACAACACAGGGTGGGAACTTCCCGCATTTCCTAATGGGTCACCGGAGATTCCTCTACAATGGGCATGCCAAGACTATTATGCCTGATAAGCGCAAGCTTGTTGTTCTACTGCAGGACATGAGTATGAGGTATTCTGTAGGTGTAGTTTCTGTAAAATGAAACAGTTTCTGCTTGTAATACCCCAATTTTGAGATTTCAAAGTTCATAAACGCTTACGTTTGGCTTACATTTAAACTCCGTGTATATTGGTCTTGCAGTTGGAATGATTTCAAACTTGAGATGGAAGCAATTCTCACTGAAAGTGATCGCAAGGGAAAGATAGTACCGAGAGTGAAAAAATTCACCCGAAAATCTTCTGTGTACACATACCCTTTGCCAGAGTGTAGTTGTCTCCAAAAGCACAATAACACACAGATTGTCCAGTCTACACATTCTTGATTCTTTGTTACAAAGCTATGAGAAATGGAAAAACAAACCTCGTGCTTGAGTCGTTTATTCCACCTGTGCTGTCATCAGTCAGAAGCTTTAAATTGGGGGCTTTAGCTCCTTTCTTCCGTGGATTTTGAAAAGAGGCTCGTTGCTCAGAAGCCTGTTGGGAAAATGTAGATAGTATTTACAGCAGCAGGTTTTCCAATTTTGGTCGCAGAAGGATTTCCTTATTTCATGTTATTCTTCCTTCCCTTTTCGTGTGGAGGTGTTAGATCTCTTATGTGGACGTAACTGAAGTGCAAGCCGCCCTCCGGCAATGTTGGCGCATGCACTTGTGGTACGTAGTGATATATAGCATATAAATTTTGAGCTGGATTTGAAGTTGTAGATTTGGTCAGATGGAGTTGGAGGCCTAGGGATTTATGCATTGGTTTTGCAGTTTGATTGTTACTTGTTAGCCTACTTAGGCATATTTCTGAGTATATAATGGTAATACTTTGTTCTTACAAGTTTAACCATTGTTTTATATATTGGTAGCAAAATTCTGCATTGTTTACCTGGTGCGGTACATATGTGAACAAACTTAGCTCTGTTTGGATGACCGATTTTGAATTCGATAACGAGGCTACATTTACGATAGTAACATTCAGTCTTTTACTTTATCAATTTCAATTTTACTTTATTATGATGACTTACTCCAACCCTTGGACTTAAAACTGATTTTTGAGGCAAATTTAACCTAAGAAATCAGCCAAGGTCAAGCATCTGGCCCACTTATGTGCGTGGATGCGCCAAAAAGGGACTTGGATTGTCTACCCTCTTATTTCGGTGCCCTCCTCATGCCCTTCTGTTTGTGTGGTCGCGGTTAAGCCACGTCAACGTTTTATATTACTATTTCTTTTTGTTTTATTATTTTTATAAAAAAACAATATAAAATGTTGACGTGGCTTAACCGTGACCACACAAAACAGGAGGGCACGGGAAGGGCACCGAAATAGGAGGGCAGACAATCCAAGTCCCCAAAAAGAAGCTAACTCGCAGCCCACCGACGCACGCAACACGCCGCATGTAGTTTGATTGTTCACATATGTGCGTGGACGCCGCATTCAGTGCCCGACAAGGGGGCCCATTGTCAAGGCAACTGTCGCCCACCGTCACGAGCCTAACAACTCTATTTCTAATCCTACGGTTGGTTTCACTGGACCGTTGGTTGATCCATCAGTCTAGATTCAAATTATTTTTATAAAAATCTAATTTTAAAATACATTAAATCCAACTTGACACACCCTGACTTGGGATGTTCACTTGGACTCCGAATCGAGTTGAGTCAGCCAACATCAGAAGGGTGACGAAGCTATATAGTGTAGTGATGTGGAAAATGTGGATAAATTTAAACCTAAAAGTGTCTAAATATAAGAGTGCGCTTGTGAGCGGGAATGAACACATTTCACACATGATGTCAGAGCATAAGCAAAGTACAATAAAGTAGGATGAGAATCATACCATTGAAGGTAACCATCTATACCATGATTTGCCAATAATCTTTGTCGACACAAAAGCTCAGCAATAAAACCTGGAGGGGCAAAAAATAAGGGTGAGTGTGTCTAAAAATAAAGCTTTGTAAAAACCTTTTCAAAAGCATAATAACCCTTCGCTGTAAAACAAGTATAGTTTCCAAAATATACATACTACGTATAGTAAGAATATACTTACCGTAGCCTGCAAAATCTCAAGAACTCAATACGTCACAAAATTCATAAATAAATACATGACGTCTGTAATAATCTAATCTCGCATAAGTAAACATATCATATCGAGTGCTCATCGACACATGTTGACATATGAGTTCATGCAAAGATATTTTGACATGAACAAGACTGGATGTAACAATGATATACGCTCTAGTACTACAATCATGTGAAGACTGATGCTATGCGCAGCACATACAAGTCCTAATTACCTATAGCAATCTAGGACAAGACTGGCACCTACAATGGATCCAAAGTGAGTGTACGGTGCGATGTGCACATACGCGTGAAAGACTAGCATTGGCTTGGGGCGAGTACTAACACCGGTGCAGCAAACGATGAGCAGATAACATAAATATAGTCATGCCACAGTGATTCAATAATTCACATCGACATAATAGTAATAAATAAAATAGTAATCATAGTCGTAATTAAAATCCCATAAAAATACGCATACATGTGCATCCCGTATGATTTATGATAATTTCGTAATTTCCATTATTTCGTTAATTCTTATAACATTACTCTAAATAAATATATAATATATAAAAGCAAAGACCTACTCACAGATATTTGCGAGGTCATAGCCAATCGAACTAGGAAGCCGGAGTCTATGATAGTAATTACACCTAAGCATAATATTGGGGCCCGTTAGTAAAACTCAACTAAAATGACTAGATTTGGGAAAATGGAGTGCGGATTTGGAATTAGAGCATCGAATTATGCTAAGAGGGCTCCCGGGTAAATTTTGTAAAAAGTCAACGAAAAATCAACGATCAACCTAGACCTAGCATTCGTGTTGTGTTTTTCTGTATACGTGTCGTTTTCGTGTCATACCCGATATCTTAACGGGTAGTGTCGTGTAACACCAGTTAAAATAAACAGTTAAAATGACACAACCCGAAATCGACCCGATAATATTAACAGGTAATATGACCCGACCTGTTACCCATTAAGGAAAATATATTTTAAACCAATAAATAATCAAATGAAAAACATAATACTAAATAAGTATATACATACCATATTGTCACATCCAAAACATAAAAACGCAATTTTCTTTTAATGTAGAAGTGTAAAAAAATATAGAAAAAATATATAAACGCTCGTAATGACAAGCTTTACAACTTTCATGAAGAGCTTAACTTTGAAATTCGCCACTATAATCATATAAATCATAGATCAAAATTTAACAGTTGATTGTTGTTTACATTTACGCTTCATTGTTCTCATCAAATTTTGTTTTCAGATTTTCTTTTTTGAAAACTTGATCTATTAAAGGATGCAGGAAGATGAACGGTTTGGATCGTTAATATTATATTCAGAGTTTTACGGTTAGTGAAAATATTGCTTGATGTTTATAAAGTTTCTACAAACTATATGACATCGACTCATTTCAGTTAACCGTAAATATCGAAACGTGATACCAAAGATCTGAGCCGTTCATCTTCTTACATCTGCCAGATGATCATGTTTTCAAAAAAAGAAAATTTTAAAAATGAAATTCAGTAAGAAGAATAAAGCGTAAATGGCAATCGACGGTTAAATATAAATTGTATGTCTTCTTAGTTCTTGCCTATACAAATACTATATTAGTTTATTTTAATTTTGGACAACAACATGTTAAGTAAAATTTATCCTAGTAATGATAATAAGGTACTCTCATAATAAAAATAAATAATGACTAAAACATTTTTTTAAAACTTATATAGAATAATAATACAAAACTATATATTTAATATAGAATATATTGTATATATTAATATGGTTATTGTATTTAAAAATAAATTTTTTAGTAATTAAACTTTAAAATTATCAAAATAATTTTTTTCTTAACGGGTCGAAACGGGTTACCCGCGTGTATATCCGTTAACGGGTTCTTAACGGGTCACCCGATAAGTTATCGTGTTGACCCAAAACCCGTTATTTTCGTATCGTGTCACCGTGTCGGGTCTAGATTAACCCTAAAAAGTCAACCGAGACTCTGCGATATTCTGAGCCTATTTCAGAACTGGGCTGGCTGGAATAATGGCCCAAAGGTTTAGGCCAGGCTTGGGCCAAAGACTTAGATTAAGTTTTGAGCCAGGTTTGGGCTTAAGGCCCTCTCTTTTTTTCTTTTTTTTCTTTTTTTTCTCCGGTTTGGTCGACCCGGTCCCTATCGCTGGTCCAATCGCCGAAAACTGGGTAGCAAACTCCCGAGCTCAAAACTCAACCATTTTTCACGAAATAAAAATCAAAATGAAGCTCATGAAGTAAGGGTTCGAAATGTACCAATGGGAAACGAAGTCGTGGCTAGAGTTGGGCAGGAATGGCCTGCAAAACCTCATAATCTCGTTGTAAAAACTGGCAAAAGTCCCCTATGCCATTTTTGCATCATAATGTCGCTAAAACGTCTCAAAATGTACCTAATCGTACACCAAAACAAGATTTAAGAAGTTTTTGGGGGTTTTCGAGGCTCACCTTCTTTGGGAACGGCAAGAACTCGCCAGAGTTCAAGAGGTTAGGTGGTGGTGTTGCTACCTCGGTGTTTCCTGTGCAGTTGGGTGTGTTTATGTGCGTGCATTAACAGTGGGAGCGTGAAAAATATAAGAGGGATGAAGAGTAAAACATGGTGGTGGTTTGAAGGGGAGTTGTTTCGAGTGGTGATGGATGGCTGGTGGTTTCTCTGCAGAGGGATGAGAGTGTTAGAGAGAGACGCGAGAGAAGACTGAGAGAGTTTGAAAGTGTGAGGAGAGGGAGAAGGGACACGCGGTGAGAAAAGAGTGGAGAGCTTGCGTGAGTGTAGGCCCCACGGACCAGAAAAATTATAAAATATCTAAAATATCCACTCATAAAATATTAAATTAATAAAATACCCAAAATTCAAATTTCATAAAATCCTCAAGTTTCGTAGTTCCGTAAAATCTTTATCGTAACTCCAAATTCGATTCCGCTTGCCCCTACTCGTGCATATGGTCAAGTACTTCGAGGTTATGGTAAAATAATAGCTCGTACCCATCATGAAAAGACGGTCAACAAAGGTTAACAATCTCATCTCTAGGGCATTTTCGTCAAATCACTCTTTTAAAATTTATAAAAAAAAAAAGTAAAATTTGGGACGAGTTTTCACACAACGACTGAGATCTAATATGATTAAATCTAACAATTAAAAAAAAAGATCTAGTATCCAAAAATTAAGTTCAACGGCTAAAACGATTAAAAATTTTATTTAAATCAAAATTCACATAAAAACTCTATAAAATTAGTGAATTTTTAAAATATTTATCGGAATCCAAATATTTTTAGATTAAAATGTTCATAAAATTAAATTAGGATAGTATACATATTTTTTTAAGTTACTTTGGAAAAAGAAATTAGCCTAAATTCATTCTTTAATAATTTCGGACTATAAATTTTAACCTATAAGGATTGAATTAAAAATTTTAAGTTTTAACCCAAGAGTCGAAGATGACCTAAGGGTGAATATGAATTTTCAACTTCAATTTATTATTTACTTTGTGATTAAAAATAGGACTTGGATTGTCTGCCCTTCTCACTCCATATCCTTCTCATGCCCTCCTATATTCTGTGGTCACGGTTAAGCCACGTCAATATTTTATATTGATTTTTTTATATAAATAATAAGACAAAAAGTAATGAGAATGTAAAATATTAACGTGGTTTAATCGTGACCACAAAAATATAAGAGCATGTGAAGGGTATGAGATGGGAGGACAGACAATCCAAGTCCTTAAAAATAAAAAAACAAAAATTATTATATCTTAAAAGTAAAAATGAACAGTTGTGTCAGAGTTCCGTGCAAGCCTTTGAAAGCCCGTCGGCGGTGGTGTGGTGTGTACTTAAATACGACCACGTGTTAGAGTCCCATGTAATGCCAATGCACCGGGCCCATAAGAACAAACAAGCGGGGCCCAGTTTCGCGGTAGGTCTCACCCGTGTTTGTATTAACGCGGCAAAACCCACGAGCTCGCATTCAATTCACCCATGGAATTCGCGTATCTGAACCGAATAGCTACCGCTCTCCGCCACTGTGGCGGCCGATCTCAGGTCAATCACGGCAGAGCATTTCACTCCCAACTAATCAAGCTCGGCGCTTTGAATGACGTTTTTCTCGCTAACAATCTGATATCTTTGTACGTCGCGTTTCCTTGTTTGAGTGACGCGCGGAAGGTGTTTGATGGAATGCCTGACAGGAACGTTGTGACATGGACGACAATGGTTTGTGGATATACTAATTGCGGAAAACCTGATAAGGCAGTGGGATTGTACAAGCGGATGTTGGAGTCTGAATCGGAGACGCCGAACGGGTTCATGTACTCTGCGGTGCTAAAAGCTTGTGGTTTGGTGGGTGACCTGAGAACGGGTAAATTGATTCATGAGAGGATATGTAGTGAGAGGTTGGAGTTTGACACTGTTTTGATGAATACCCTTTTGGACATGTACTTCAAATGTGGGAGTTTTCGTGATGCTAGGAGAGTTTTCGATGACATGTCGAGCAAAAACACGACTACGTGGAACACTATGGTTTCGGGGTTTACTAAGGCTGGTTTGGTGGATGAGGCAGTGTGTTTGTTTCATCAAATGCAAGAGCCGAATGTTATATCTTGGAATAGCATTATTGCTGGTTTGGCGGATAATGGAAGTCCGCGCGCATTTGAATTCGTGTGTATAATGCACCGAGAAGGCCTCAAGTTAGATGGATTTACTTTCCCGTGCGCCCTTAAAACCTGTGGTCGACATGGTTTGTTAGCTTCTGGGAAACAACTCCACTGTTATGTTATAAAATCAGGTTTTGAATCAGGCATTTTTACTGTGTCGGCTTTGGTTGATATGTACTCGAATGGCAATGAATTGACTGAAGCTGTAAAACTGTTTGATCAGCGTTCAAGGTGCTATGCTTCCATTTCTGATAGTTTGGCACTTTGGAATTCTATGCTTTCAGGATACGTCATTAACGAATGCAATAGTGCAGCTTTGGATTTAGTTTTGAAAATCCATTGCTCAGGTACTTGCATGGATTCCTACACTTTCAGTGGCGCTTTAAAAGCTTGTGTCAACTTACGCAACTTGCGACTCGGGCATCAAGTGCATGGCTTGGTTGTAACCGCAGGGTATGAGTTAGATCATATTGTTGGAAGCATTCTTACAGACCTGCATGCAAGACTGGGGAATATTAATAATGCATTGGGATTGTTTCAAAGGCTTCCAAAGAAAGATGCCGTAGCTTGGACTGGTTTGATCATAGGGTGTGCAACAACGGGACAAAGCTGGCTAGCCTTTTCACTGTTTCGGGATATGGTGTATTTCGGTCTCGAAGTAGATCAATTTGTCCTTTCATTTATTCTGAAAGTTTGCTCCAGTTTAACATCTCTTGGAAGCGGAAAACAGGTTCATGCTTTCTCTGTTAAGAGTGGATATGAGTCTGAGGAAGTTGTAGTGACATCCCTGCTCGATATGTACTCAAAATGTGGTGAAATTAACAATGCATTAGCTCTGTTTGATTCTGTGGAAGAAAGAGACACCGTGTGTTGGACGGGGATAATTGTGGGGTGTGGGCAAAATGGAAGGGCAGAGGAAGCAATCAAATTTTTTAATGAGATGACAGAATCAGGATTGAAGCCAAACGAAATTACGTATTTAGGTGTTCTTTCTGCCTGTAGGCATGCTGGACTTGTAGAAGGGGCACGGACCATATTTAATTCCATGAAAATTTTACACGGTCTGGAACCTCGTTTAGAGCATTATTATTGCATGGTTGACATTCTAGGTCAAGCTGGATGTTTTAAAGAGGCAGAGCAGTTGATTGCTAAGATGCCATTTGAGCCTGACCCAATCATATGGAGATCATTGCTCGTGGCCTGTGGAACTCATAAAAATACTGAACTTGTTAATGTTATTGCCGATCAGATTCTCACAACCTTACCAGAAGACCCTTCCACGTATGTGACGCTTTCGAATGTTTATGCAGAACTAGGAATGTGGGATGATCTAAGCAAAGTTAGAATTGCCATCAAGAAAGTGGGTGCTAAAGAAGCAGGAAAGAGTTGGATTGAGATTTCAACTTAAAAATTGCTGCATTACTAAATGCATGGGTCAGAAACAATAGTTTCTGATGAAATACATAGCAAGTACCATCCGAGCTTTGAACCTCTGACGTTAAGTCCTTGCATGAGCTCAATGAATGAATCATTTTACTGAAGACCTGGCAAGGATCTTAGAAAGCGATGGCCCTTGGTGGCGAGTCGAAAAAGATGTAACTATATTATGGTGTGTATAATCACCGTTTTTCTCCCCTTTAAATTTAAGCGCACAACTCAATCTAATTTTTTTCTTATCTTCCTTGAGGTTGAAATTTGGATCGATTCAAGCCATCCAATTTGATTTTTCGTCTAAAAAGAAACAAAGAAATATTTACTTATGCAGCTCAAATTTGCTTCAATTAACACCTGTCATATTGTCTTCTTATTCATTGTAGTTTTCCCGTCTGCGTGCAGGTTTTTGTTGGAGCTATGTGCATCATCTAAAATGCATGGTTTATCGGAAAGATCTTGGTACCTGATTCTTCTATCTGGTCTTATGTATAGTTGGTTTTCTTGTCCAGTCATTGTTATCCCGTCTCTTCAACCAAATGACAGATCCTCCCAGAAATTTCCCACGTCTCTTTTTCTGCTTTCTGATAGATTAACAGCTTCTTCAATACGAAGAAAGCTGGCATCTTCTTTATGGTACTGTAAATATGCTGTGTTTTACTTCATCCCAATTATTAAAAGAGAAAATAAATCTTATCTAGTGACTGGCGATGGATACATGAATGAGCCATCAAGTCTCAACCCTTGCTTTGTCATAATATGCTGTAAATGACGTGCGTCGTCTGGAATCTGTATGCTAGTCTTTCTCGATTATTCATAACTAGGTGGATGTTAGATTATTTGTATGTCTGTGTGCTGGCACAAACTTGATGGTTGAACTAATTTCTCACCTTCATTGTTCGGTTGCCTTTCGTCAGGACGCTGTGTAGGTTCAATGGGAGGAGGAGAAAACTCACTTGGGAGTTGGTTCGTTAACGTTGAAGAGAAAGGGTGCCTCCACCGGTTGAGTATGAAGGTTAGCCATCTTTTTTCCCTCAAGCAATATTAGTAGTGCTTTCATTTACCTACAAGCCTTTTGCCACGGTATTTTATTTATTTTTCTGATCACTTCTAAACTGAGAGAATGTAAACCGAGAGGCCTGAAGTAATCTATGTCGATACGTTTACCCCTTTATGACAGAAGGGTAAAAAAAGAAGCCATTAGAGCGGATCAGTTGTCAATTTTGCCTTTATTCTTGCATGTGCCAATTGCTGTTATCCTTCTGTGAGTAAAGAAGGATTTGCACATGGAAAGGCAGCCTCATGAGTCATTGCAGCCTTTAACTACAAGTTATGGCTCTCATCCAAAATCCAGGAAGCTCCGTCTCTCCGTCAGATTAAAAGATAAGATGGTCCAACCTGCTAATTAAACCCGGTCAGCTGGTCCAACCCATATGAGCCTGACCCAACACAATTCAGCAACAAAGCCTGACCCAACAGACTTAATTATTTAGTATATATTAGTAGTAAGTTAATAACCCCTGTATGAATTCTTTTCTCCGTTCACCCCCAAGTTATTTTTCACTTATCTTCCTGTCTCTAATTTGGAATTTGTTGATGAATGCCCAAACAGAATACAGAGGTACATATAGGAAGTTGCGGGGAGTAATTTTGTGACTGGGCCGACTGAAAATTTGGCTTGAAATGTCGGAAAACTCGCGGTCACTAAGGACGTTCTAGGATGTAAATAGAACAGAATGTACGATAACTGTAACGTTCCCTTATTATTTATTCATCTTTATATTTTTTTTTACAGTGAGGCCTTCCACCTTCAGTGATGAGTGAGTGTTGGATGCAGAGACAGACAGGTCTTTGCTTTGTAAGGCGTCAACCGTGCAGGTGCAGCCCCGTAAAGTATTAAAGTGGGAGTGAGCGAGCTTCTCTTTCCCTTCCTCCTCAGGTCAGGCATGCCCTTGGTTTATTCTTTCTTTTCTGTTTTCACTGTTATCAATGAACATAAAGTAACTGCAGAAAGCTTCACAGAATATTACCTGTAAAAAATTTACACTATCATTTTGTGCCCGTCACTTTTTGGCGCCAAAATTGACTCATTCCAAGTGGTAAATAAGAGTAACACCATGAAATGGCATGTCAATCCTATCATGTTCCTCATTGACTTACTCATATACTTACATGGAATGTGAGTTGGAATTATCTATTCTTTTGTTTTTCCGCATTTACTAAAACATTGGGTATTATAATTGTTCAAATTTCTGGCTTCTCGTGTTTACTAACACATAAAATCAAGCAATTTGTTGGTTTCACATTAAAATCCGTAATCCAATACCAGAAAATCAGGAATAAAAGTCAACTAGATGGGACTACTCGATCCATACTCATTTCTTCATTACCTTCCTTGATTTAACCTTCAGTTTTAACTTCATCTTTAACTTTGGGTACGTAGAGTTGTGTTGTTATTTTCTTCTTTCTCTGGCACGATAAACATAACAAAAACGATATGAAAAAAGACCTAAATGTTATAAATAAACTAAAACTATACAAATTGACAAAAATAAAAAAAAATGAGAGGAGGACAAAATTGAGCCATGCCGTTTGCATACATAAATATTAATATTTGTTACAACCTTCTAATCAAACACCACGAAAACTCCAAATCATAAGACAATGAGTACAAAACAAGAGTCAATAATTAGTAAAACAAGGGCAAAGACCACATACCAAGAACCCCATACCCATCCTTCATCCTTAAATCCAAGACCACAAGACATGATGGAAATATGACACAATTAGCAAGAGATAATGCCATTGAGTTGATATTTTGAATTGGATTCCTGGGGCTAGCGGATGTGTAATGTTATATTGCACCAAAATATATCCTAAATGTTTTTAACTACTTGAGTTACAAACACTTTTTGCATATTTAACTTTAACTTATAGCGTGTTTCCTTCTAACGTCTAAGAAATTTTCGTTTTATTAAAAAAAGAAGATAAAAGCTCAACTTCTCATGCGGTTGGAAGTATTGATTCATGTGCACCCGAGGGCTTGTATTCGATTCCTCTTCCCCAAATGTTTGCATAGGAGCTGCCTAATATTTTCTTACAGTAATTGCGTGTTAAGATATATAATTTGACTGTAATATTTGAGTGTTTTAATGTGAGAGGCAATGTGTTTGATGAAAATGTAAATGGAGTTTTCCTTTGTAGGAGTGAGTCTTCTTACATGCCCCCTTACCATAAAATGTAGGTGATAATCTTGTGCACAAAATATCTCATTCAAATCATGTTAGAGACAATGTTTTGTTGAATTATTTTTGGGCTACAAAATTGTTTGCACTTGTAATACCTCGTGTGTTGGCACATCACATGAACATTGTGAGGAATTTGTCTTGAGTGACGTGTTATGTTCAACATTGTGAGGAATTTGTCTTGAGCGACATGTGTTATGTTCCTTTGATTTTGTTTGTTCAGGCCCTTCAAGGAAGGGATTTTCATTTTTTTTTTTTTGTTAAATAGGGATCAGAAGTGGGATCTACTTCATATCGAACTTCAATTATCTGAACTATCGTAATATTATACTGTGGGTAGCGTGAAAGACAATAAGTTGTACAGAAACTTTGGGTGTCGTAGTATTGTACTGGAATTGAACGGCTCGACGGGAAGAAATTACAACACACCGTAATCGAACATCTTTACACAGGTTTTTCTCTTATGTTAAAGGCTAGGGATTATTGTAATGTATTTTCTGACTTATAGTTTCTTAAGGAACCTATATTTTACTCCCTCGCATTTACACATAAAATTGAAGATTAAAAGAAAAGAAAAGGTCAGTAGGATTAAGATAATACAAATTCCAAAGGACAAGGATTGTCTGCCCTCCTAGTTGTGGTGCCCTTCCATGCCCTCTTATTTTGTGCGGCCACGGTTAAGCCACGTTAATATTTTATATTTTTATTATTTTTTATCTTATTATCTCATTAAAAAATTAATATAAAATGTTGACGTGACTTAAACATGACCGCACAAAATAGGAGAGTATGAAAGGGCACCACAACTAGAAGGGCAGACAATCCTTGTCCAATTCCAAAACCAATTTTTCACTTAATGTCGTCTAGTCATTAATACATACACATACAATTGCACAATTTCCTATGAAAACCAAAATTAATATAAACCATGAGTCCTTTGTGATTTAGCATCTGACCGTCTGGCACCAAACAATTCTATTGTTCCTCGTCCACCCAACATCAATGATCTGACACAACTCACCAAGTTTATGTGCATGCACATCCTTCTAACTTCTCAGTTCATAAAACCAGTGAGTCATTCACTACCCACAAAACAATAAAGAGAAAGCAGCAAGATTCTCTCTCTTCTTATTTTTTTTCTCTCTTCTTCATTCTCCTTCTATTTGAACGGTCACGATTAAGTCATGTAAACGTTTTGTGTTAATTTTTTAATAGTTAAAAGAAGACAAAAAACAATATGTGAGAGGAGGGAATGAAAGGGGAGAGAATTTTACTACAAAGAGAAATGCTAAGGAGACTCTCTTAAAGTGGGACTTTTATGAATTATTTGTCATCTCATAGTTTAACGTTAATTTTTTAGGAAAACTAATGAAAATGGCTTGAAAACTTTGAGTTTTAATGATAAGGACAAAATAAAGAGTAAAGTGAATAGTACTATGTTTGACTTTTTAGTGTAAAAATGTGGTTTTTCGTTAAAGTGAACAGTACCGTGGGCTTTTCGTTAAAATTCCCTAATTTTTTTGCCAATATTATAAAACATTGTGCCAAAAACATGAGATACCAAAAAATCCTACTTTTGAGAGAGTCTCCTTAACAACAATAAATTTTCGAAAATAATTAAATTATTTTTCAGTGTGGCTGTAACACAATGTAACATACTATTAGTGCTATTATAACACCTCATAGTGTGAGTACAATGATATTCATATTTCTCGCAAATACATCAAAATATAATGATGTCACATAAGTAAACAATAGTGTGTAAAAGAAGAAAAAATATATGCAAAAATCATTTCTCTTGGTCAAACTGAATCAAAGAGATTAAGGGCGGTTTGAGAATTTTCATTCCAAGAATCATTTCCTTTTCTCAAACATAATGCATAATCCTTGTTGAATAAATAAAAGACAAAGTATCATAAGTGCTTTTGTTAGAAGCACACTGAACTATTTCTCAAAGATTCAAGTTCCCTTGAAGAAGCATGTATCGAAATCTTAAACTCTTATGCTCATAAGTACTTTTGTTTGTAAGTGATTTTTAACTTTTTCCATCAAATATCGTCAAAAACGCTTTTAATTATTTGAAAGTGAAAACTACAATTTCTAATCACCTTAGAGATATACAACATGAGTGTACCAAAAACTGATTGAAACTTTTAATAACCTCCATATATGACAACAAAACAAGGCAAAATAGCCTTGGGATTGAACACATACAACTCATCCAAATTAGAGTATACTCCCACAGCTCCAGCCACAGAGTCATACTCTTCCATACCAACATTTCCATTTCCAACACTACCCTCCAAGTTCTTCTTCACCCTCCCGGCAATCACACGGCACACCAGCATTGCCCTCTTGTCACCCTCCTCCGCCGCCACCACCGCCTTATCATGAGCTCTGCCGCTTGTCGCGGTCGTCAAGATCCCCTGCTCCGTCAGCTCCCCAGAGAACTTGTTGAAGCCGTTTTTTATAATGCTGCATACATTGCAGTGTGGGATTGAGTTGCAGAGGTTGGAGGAGCCGTTGAGGCCGAGGGAGCAGGCAAATGTGGTGCAGTGGAAACGGAGGAGCTCGTTGCCGTCGGCGATGCAGCGGGGGTGTTTCTTGGGGAGCTTGGTGGCTTTTGCTTTGATGGAGTCTCTGTACTCTTCGAATTTGGTGATGGTTTTTTGGGTGTTGTGGACTTTAAGGATGCGGTCGATTTTGCAGATTGGGGTCTGTTTTTTCAGCCAGCTTGATTGGAATATGATCTCCACTATGTTCTTGCTTGTGTCTTCAGGACCAAGTTCTGAAACTGTTGGATTTCGTGATACAAAATTAGAAAAAAAGATTGAAACTTTGAATATGATTAAGTGCGTGTTTGAGAATGCTTCTAAAAAGAGTAAAAACGCTTCTGGAAGGGATAAAAGTGCTTTTGGATCGTAGAAGTGCTTCTTCGAGAAGTACCGACTAAGTGCTTCTTCAAGAAGCATTTGGATTTTTAAGAACAATCTAAAAGTGTTTCTAACAAAAGCGCTTCTGAACAGAAGTGCTGCCTAAAAAAGCTTTCCCAAACAGGCACCAAGTGTTGAGAATTGCGAGGGTACCTGCATGTCTAACAGCCTGATGAAGCTCCAAGTTCTCAGCTTTCATGAAAATCTCACCACATTCAGGGCAAGAACAAATGCTGCCCCTCAGAGAAGGGTCTCTAGCAAAACCAAGAACAGGATCAACCACCATCCTGCACTCATAGCAGCCTGAAAATCGCCGAAAAGGCATTGCTCTAAACGACCCACCACCACCAGCAGAAGAGTTATTATTAGAGGAAGAAGAAACTGCAGAAAACGAAGAAGAAGATGTCGAAACAACCCCGTTGATTTCGTGGAGTGGAGCTTTCATGGATCTGCTTGAAGCCTCATTGCTGTTGCTTGAAGAACCCATTGAAGAAGAAGCCCTTTTCTTGTGGACTTCTGGAGATGCTAACAGTTCCGGCCTCTGCATTATTTTTGTGTTGTTGCACAACGAGCCGGAACATCTCATTTTCTTACATTTCTTTGCAGTATTGTTAGCTTCCTCCATGGCTTGTTGCTCATTAGGTTGCTTTTGTGGTAGCTGAACTGGTTGGAGGTGTTTGCAGGTCAGTAAGCCTCTCACAACTGACCAGTAAGGCGGCTTCTCCGCCGGCTTCTCCTCTGCCTTTCGGGGCTTCGGGTTCTTGTTCTCATGGTGCTTCTGGAGCTTTTGGTGCGTTTGCTTGGTGGGTTTTCTTTGGGTTTTGGGTTTATGAGAGCTAGCCATGGCTGAGGAAGACATGGAAATTTTGATGTTTTTGAGCAGAAAAAAATGGTGGGTTTATGTATTTGGTTTCATAATTGCAGAAGATGGGGTGCTCTGAGAGACATGAGGGGAGGCAAGTGAGAGGGGGTGTGTGGGGTTGCAGAGGAGCTCCCTTTGGCTTTTGCTTTTGTACAAAGTGATTTCTGGATTAGGGTTCTGCGGGGGCTTTTCTTGTGTGTACAAACTACAAAATATTGATTTGTAAATAGTTAAGGGATTGGTGATGTGTGCAAAGTGTAAGATATTATTATTTGTTAATGGTGTGGCAGTGATGCTTGGGTGGCAAGAGAAGACAGGACTCTGGGTTATTTAATATATTATGTGTCTAGTAAATTAGTCACCAAAAAGAACATGTTGAAGATTCAAAACTTCAGATTGTACAACAAAAATACAGCCACTTAGTATTACGTTCTAATGATGTTCTTCTCTACTTATAAGTGAAATGTCTTAAATTTGATTATCGCCAAAGGCGAATTTGAACTACATTATTACTAGATCATCGTGAGGCTAAGCCAATCTCATTCCCCTTAGTGTAGATAATCTCGTTTATTTAAAAAAAAAACAACAAAAATATGTCACACTATATACCAAAACATTGCCTCACAACAAATTAACCCTTATTTTTTAAGGAAAACTAATGAAAATTATTTGAAAACTTTGAGTTTTAATGATAAGGACAAAATAAAGGGTTAAGTGAATAGTATCATGATTGACCTTTTAGTGTAAAAATGTGGTTTTTCGTTAAAATGAACAGTACCAAGAGTTTTTAGTTAAAGTTCCCTTTTTTATGCAAGCGAACACAAGATCTCAACTGCATATAATACTTTTAATCGTTTGAGTTACAAGTTATTTACAACAATAGCAGTTAAACAACAAATGAGCAATATAAAACTACAGAATTATCATAATTATGTAAAACTATTAAACTAATGAGTTTTACATGAATTGTGTCCTCGCTCATCCATGACAAAAGTGTATTTATCACAAATCTCTACGTGATGAAAAAGATAGATAAATTTCTTATCATCGTGTATACTCATATGGATCAGGATAAGTATTAGTACACGTTCTTTAACGAATGATATTGTATTGATACTACCTATGAGGAAAGAGATTTAAACTCATGCGCGTAGGAAAAATGATATCTACTCTAACTAATGTAGTTACGACTACGTCTGCAGTAGTAGTACAATTATAATATATTTGGAAGCAAAGCACCCAATAAGGGGAGAAATTTTTCAATATGACCGGTACATGAGATGGTACATCACGTGTCACTATATAAATGATGGGATATGTGTGTTAAAAAGTTAATAACTTAAAAAATAAAATTTCTCACCACTTATATAAAAACACATGGTATATCTTCTTCCGTATTCCGATCACAATAAAAAATTTCTCCAACAGGGCTAGTTTATAGGAACCCAACATGAATTTATGGGAAGGCAGAGGTGAGCACAAAAACTAGAAACTAGGCTTGGTACTTGGAACCATCCGAAGCCCAAGGCAAGACTTTTTGGGCTAAGCACAGCGCACAATAAGGTAAAATCTTTAACACACTAATTAGACAATAATGGTTCAAATTTTATGGGGAAAAGCTGCTTCATTTTTAATTTGATTCCTTTTGCTCTCAAAATCATGCAAATCCCATATGCCATTCGATTAAAGTTGTCTACTTTAATAACAAAAAATTTGAAAAAGTTAATTATTCTCACCTTAATAGTACCAATATCCACTAACTGCTGTTTCCAGATGCGGTTGTCAGTTGACGTCTCTTCTAATTCGTCGACATGAGAAGCAAATTGTTGTGTGGAGGAATCAATATCTTGACATAAGCCAAGAGGCAAATCTTGTGCTACTCCACCTGGTTGTAGGAAATTGGCATGCATCCTGGCTCCGGAGACTCATTCATGGAATTCCAATAATTTCTCCCGCTCATCAAAAGCCCATAGAAATTAATTTGGACACTTAATATCACAATTTAGTGATATTTCTTTATTTGTAAATAAGAGATTTTATATTCGTCTTCTATAAATAAGAAATACGACATCAAATTATTATGACAAACTAATTATTCTATTTTATTTTGTCGAAACAAACTAATTATTTGACCAATACATCTAATGAGTCATCCCACCACCAAGTTGTTCATGTTAATTAAATATTTTATTGTTGCTTTTAATATTCTATGCTTTAACGCCAACATTTAAAAAAGTAAATTAAACTGTACACAAAAACAGCAAAGGATGGAGGAAACCTAGCTTTTGCTTGTAACCGTTGCTAAGTACAAAACTATGGACTATGCGAATCAAAGATTTTAACAATTCGAAAATTAGTACTACTGAAAAGTGAAGGATTAAGAATTTAAATTTGGTTATGGTTTTTGGACATCCTTTTCTGCAACTGTGTTTAAATATGAAAGAGTTTTAATTGGTGGGAATATGATCACAAAGAAATTCAAATGAAATGCATTTGAGCACATGCATCAAGCTAAAGACGGGATGTTAGCTTTATGTACTTGTTGATATATTGTCTAATTTAGATGTTTGAGGTTTATCGAAGATGAAAATTAGAATGGAGAAAGTATATTGTTAAGGAAATTCAGCATGATAATATTAATGTCATAGTTATTGACTACATCGCTAAAAATGTGAGTCTAACCCATAACATGAAAGTCCAACTTACGAGAAACCTGCCTCAATTAGGCCATCTCCAATGCACCGAAAAGTTAGAACTTATAGTTAAATGTGGAGTCGCATTGAGTTGAGGTTCCAAAAATTTCATTACAAGCCCAACTATACATTTGGAGGCCTAATCGTCGCATATTCGTAAAAAAACTAGATCTACGCTTATTGAAGAGCCCATGCAATATTGTAAGACGAGGGTCACGTGCAAATGTACAATCATGCCACACTAAAGGGAATAATGATTAGAGTTCGGGCATTTCGGAAAATCATGTTAAATTTGTGTGAATCAATTAACGTTAGAGTTAGAGTGCTGCCATTGTTCTATTCTCTTCATCTTCATGCTAACTAACTCAATCTTATCCAACCTCCTAACCAATGATACTCTGCCACATGGTCATCATATGGTTATTACAGTTATTACTTCCCCCTCAAACGAAGCTGAGCTGCTGAAGCTGAGTTTGGTGCAGTCAAAATTCCTAATCCAAGTCGTCGACAATGCTTGAGAAAGATCAGACTATGTAGGCCTTTAGTGAAAACATCGGCTACTTGGTCATCAGTAGGAATGTAATGAACTGTAAGATCACCTTTCTGAACTTTTTCCCGGACGAAATGATAATCAGTATCCAAATGTTTGATTTTGGAGTGGAAAACAGGATTTGAACTTAATGCCAAAGTGGATAAGTTGTCACAGTATAAGGAAGGTGGATCGGAAATATACTGATGCAAATCCTTGAATACTGATCGAATCCAGAAGATGTCAGCTGCACAATGAGCCAATGCTTTATACTCGGCTTCTGTAGAACTTCAAGACACAGTAGACTGCTTCTTAGACTGCCATGAGATCGGATTGTCACCAAGATATACAACAAAACCTGTAATCGATCGTCTGGTTGTAATATCTGCCGCCCAATCCGAGTCTGAAAAGGCAGTGATATCAAAATGATTGGTTTGCGTATAATGAAGACCATAATCGACAGTCCCTTGTATATACCTCAAAATTCTTTTGACCAACAACATATGCAAATCAGTTGGTTGTGTCATGAATTGACAAACCAAGTTCACTGAATGAGCAATATCAGGACGAGTAAAAGTGAGATATTGTAGAGCCCCAACTAAGCTTCTATACTGACTAGGGTCAGATAACAACCTCCCTTCGCCTGCAAGAATCTGAGTATAAGGCTTTGATGGTGTTGAAGTAGGTTTACAATTGTCCATACCTGCTTTCCTCAATAGATCTTTAGCATACTTGGTATGAGTTATAAACAAAGATCCATCATCTTTATATTGTATATGCAACCCCAAAAAATATGATAACTTTCCCATGTCTTTTAGATCAAACACACCAGCAAGATCATCAATCACAGCTTGGATTTTTACTGGATTTGAACCAGTAAGAATTATATCATCAACGTAAAGCAATAGAATCACAAGATCACCACCATCCACTTTAACAAATAGACTAGTGTCGGAAAAAGAGGATTTGAAACCAATAGCTGGAAGATAGCTTGTGAATTTGGAATTCCAAGCTCTAGGAGCCTGTTTGAGGCCGTAGAGCGATTTGACTAATCTGCACACATGATTTGGACAAGTAGGATCCACAAAGCCTTGTGGCTGTTTCATATATACTTCTTCTTTCCAACTCTCCATGAAGAAAGGCATTCTTAATGTCAAGTTGCCTTAATTGCCAACCAAAAGTAGCAGCCAAAGCCAAGATTATCCTTACTGTAGTATGTCTTACTACAGGACTAAACGTCTCGGAATAATCTAAACCGTGCTCTTGAGTGTAACCTTGGGCAACCAACCGAGCTTTGTATCTTGAGACAGTACCATCGGGATTCTTCTTCACCTTATACACCCATTTACTACCAATCACAGATCGATTTGATGGTGGGGAAACCAACAACCAAGTACCCTGAGTTTTCAACGCATCAAACTCCTCTTGCATTGCACACTGTCATTCTGGTTTGGTGGATGCACTCTTAAATGTTTTAGGTTCGTCACTATCTGTTATATCAGCCAAGAAGGAAAAACCCCCAGAAATTTGATCACTGAGTCCCATCGATGGACCATCAGTATAGGGCACATCAATTTGTAAGGAAGACAACTGAGGCAATGAAACAAGATAGCCCACATAGCTCTTTCTAGAAATCACACCAGTTTGTAATCTGGTCTGCATACGAGTGGAATGGGTGCCTGTGACACCTGAATTATGATCTAGAGAAGATGATAGAGGTGGAAGGATTACCTATAATTGTGCAGGATCTAGGACAGGAAGCAAATGAGTAGTGTCTTGGACAGAGGAAAGAGTATGTGATGGCCCAGATCCCTGTACTGCTAGCTCAGTGGATGCACTCTCTCCAAATTGTCTCTCAGATGTACTTTGGTGTACTGCACTAGAATCAGACCCAACCAAATTCTCAGGATATGTTGGAGAAGATACTTCAGTGTCAATCTGAACCCATGAGCTCTGTGAACCTGCATGTGTTTCACCTTGTTGACTTCTAGACAGAGGGATAGG